GTGTGTGTGTGCATGCCCAAGATCCCGAGAGGAGCATGGAGGAGAAGGGATTGTGGTATGGCCATCCTCCTGGGCGGTGATTTCTCACTTTCTGTCTCTGTCTTTCTGGTGAGCACACAGCAATCCCTTTTCCTTTCCCCATCCTGCCAGACTTGGGGGCATATATGTGCCTGGCATGTTTTTTAAGTCGCCGGGGCTGGGATGCAGACCACAGGTGGCCATGGGCAACCCGGCTCCCTTAACTACCGAGCCTCAAGTTCAGCCTAGCTAGCTATTGGGTTGTTGGAAAAGTCATGCTGCATTTTTGCATAGAAAAACGTCATGACTTTTCCAATTACCCAATATTTATTAAAAACATTTAAAAAATTATATATTGAGAGAGAAAGAGAGAGATTGGGGACAAGACCCCATACAGATCCTTGGCATGCCATGATCCCCCCAGCCTGTCAGCCAGCCAGGGTCACGGGCTTGCCTGTAGGTGTGTCTGGCATGTTCAGATCCACCTGGGACCTGGCTCTGGGCCTTCCCATATGGCTTCAGCATCACACAGTAGCACTACCACCTGCACCACTGTGGCTGCAGCAACACTACGATGTCACCTTAGAAAAGGAGACAGTGCTACCGGAAATAATGCAGAGGTGAATATTTTCAGTGCAAATTTGTGTTGTTGTTGTTGCAGATTTCCAATAGCGACAAGAATAATGGGTTTAAATTTTATAAACACTGATTCAGTGTGCCAAAAGTATGACTTAAAAATCTCCCTACTGTATTTAATCTCACTTTCAAGCTACACGACAACTCACTTCCAACGTGAGACTGGTCACATAAAAGGCTGTCTGCCTCTTCACCTGGTGGGATCTAAGCCCTGAGGAATTTACAGACCATCGTAGCCCTGGCTGGTTGGTGGCTAAGGATGGGTCCGGCGTAGGTTTCATTTTTCTAGGCTGTGAACATTCAGTCTGAGTTGGGTTTGGGTTTGCTTGTGTATTAGATTGTTAGGAAAATCATGGCATATTTTTCTATATTTTCCTATGCAAAAATGCGTCGTGACATTCCCATCAACCCAGTAGGAACCCAAGGCCCTGGAGCCATGTCAGCCTAGTGGCCTTCCAGTTCATCTTAGACACTTGCTCCAGACAGAATGGGAGGCCCTTAGAGCCCCAGGAGGCGTCAGAGATCTGTTCTCCAAGGCTCACAGTTTTGAAATAATAGGACTGAAACCCCAGAGCGGGTGTGTCTTCTCTTCTCAACCTCAGGGTAGAGACCGTGTCTTGCTCACTGTCCCCAATATTTGGCATGTAGAATCGCCCAGTAAGTATTTGTGGAATTTTTCAATGACTTGCCTGTGAGCCTCCTCAGCCTCCCCATGGCCTCCTGGGCTGTTTTGTTTGTTTTTTTTTTTTTTTTCATAAACTCTCCAGACCTGTCATGAAGGAAGAGGGTGCCCCGCTGTGGGGAAGGTAGAGCTGTTTCCCTCAGAAGCAGTCTGCCGTTTCCCGCTGAAATACAAATGTCGCTGACAGAAGGCCCTCGATGCGATGCTAAGAGGACAGCTGCCAGGCCTCCGGTCCTTGCTAAATCTGTTCCATCTTGTCTCTGCCCCCAAAGCGTGCACAGTCCAATCTCTTCACCCTCTGCGTGTTTCTCTTCATTCTGAGCAAGCTGCTTTCCTCTTGGGTTGCCTCAGTAGGTCTTTTTCTCTAGGCTGCTCAGAGTTCTCAGTCTTGCCTTCATGTTAGAATCACCCAAAGCTTTGCAAAGTCCTGATGCCATGCCAGTTAAGTCACTCACAGTGCAATTTTTAAAATTCTGTTTTAAAAATTTTAAACAATTGTATTTATATTTTGCTTCTGTTGCTGAAGGTCTCATGCACTCACCAGAGAAAGACCGTCCAACAGGCTGTGGTCATGCTACAATATCCTCTCCTCCATTTTTCCTTCCTGTCAGGATTTTAGGTGCTGTGCGTGCACACACACACCTATTCTATTTTTTGAACTGCTGGGGAGGGAGGATTCAAACTATGGTCAACCATGTGGAATCCTGGTTCCCACAAGGACTTGACTGCTGTGCTATATGGCTGGCCCTAGTGTTGCTAATCCCCTTCAGTTTTTAATCCATTCCATCAATCTTCAAGCTTGCTTGCCTGAGTTTTATCCGTCCTCAATCGAAACTTGCTGTCATTTACTTTGGGTCCAAAAAACATGTAATAAATTCTGTCAAAGAGAAACTGGAGCTGGGCCAGGTGGTGGTTTAGTAACTCAGTCCTCTGCTATCCCGAGGCCTCCCTGTCACACTGTCACACTGGGCCAGCTTGTGTGTGCCTGTGATTCAGGCTGGGGATGGATTGTGGCCCGAAGACCCTACTGAGTGTGCTTGTCTCTCTCAAGACACAAATATATAAATGTATATATATATTTTTTGGAGAGGTTTTTGCTATAGGGCACGTGCACTCACCAGAAAGACAGGCAGAGACAGAGAGACAGAAAGTGAGAAATTACCCCCTGGGGGGATGGCCATGCTGCAGTCCCTTCTCCTCCATTCTCCTCTTGGGATCTTGGGCATGCACACATACGCCTGGCATGAGTTTAAGCCACCGGGTCCTGGATTTGAACACTGGTCGACTACATGGGAGTCGAACAACATAGCCATTACGCCAACTGCTGGTCCTAAAATATTTTAAAATATTTTTTAAAAAAGGAAAGAAAAAGAAAACTCCAGTGGACAGTAGTTAGAGCTCTCATAGACAGATTTTATTAAGGACTGTTGCAGTGAGGGAAAAGATACCTCAGTGCCGAGCTGGGCCTAGTTCCAAATACAATATGTACAAGTAGGGGTTTATAGCTAAGGAGCAGATCGGGTCAGGGGATAGCCCATTACCAAGAGGAACCACTGGAGTAAAGAGGATTCTGGCTGACTGACCAAACAGGATTCTTACTGAACACAGGCCCGAGTCAGCAGGGGGAGGGTGGAGAATGTGAGGCCTGATCAGATGTCAGAGGTGCGCAGGTACAGAGGATGGAGGGTTCTTGCTGGAATGACTTAGCCACATTCTTGCTGAAACCGGATTTTCCAGAGCAGTGGATGGGCCTGGGAGAAGGTTCAGGAGCCTCATAAAGTTTGGTCAAGCAAAGAATCTCTTATTGGTTCATACAAAGAAAATGTTCTTCTGTGATTACTTTTAGGTGATCTGTGTTCTTTTCTATTAGATTATGAACTCTGGGACCAGGGTGGGGACGTGTCTTCTTTCTCTTCTATCCCAGAAGTTCTCCAGTTTGAGGATGCATCAGAATCACCCAGGCCTGTTAAAACACAGATTACTGGGGCCCATCTTAGAATCATTCTGTAGGTCTTGGGTGGGGCCTGAGAATGTGCACTTCCAACCAGATTTCAGGTGATGCTGATGCTGCTGGTCTGGGGACTAGACTCTGGAGAACCACTGCCCTGTCCCCTGGATCATCTCTCCTGTACACATGCTCAATAATGACTGGCCAAACCAAAAGAATGGAACAGCTTTCATCGTGGCCACGCTACTGATGAAACAGATGCTACTGAATGGGACTGTGGTGGAGAGAATGAAACTCTTATGAATGACCATAACTTTAGGGCTTCTCAGTTGTTGATCTGTTCACATTTTGAAACTTGCTAAGCTGATTAATTTTCAACGTGTATGCGTATTTTTGTGTACGTGCGTGTCAGCAGTTGGTTATCCATTTAGCCTAGATCAAGAGATACGATGAAATCATGCAAGATAGGCTCACAAGTCGTTTCCTGTTTTTCTCAATGGAATGTAAAGGTAGACAGTAAGGGGAACATGTTTTGGGAAGGGATGGTGAAGTATGCTCTCCTAATAGTGGGGAAATGCAATACGTCAACTCCTAAAAGCCAAACAAAAATTCCCAGTAAGAAATATTTTCTTTGAGGTATAAGGGGTCTGAATTTCTTCCTTAGGAAAACTGAATGAGCCAAAGTAGAGCTGACATGCTCCCTCCAGCCCTTCCTCCAGGGACAGTCCTCATGAATCTCAATAACACCTGCTGTTTACTGTAGCATGAAAAAACACTGGGGCTGAAGTTGAGGGTTTATTCATATCTTCGTTCTTTTTTCCATGAAGTTCCTTCTAAAAGTGGATTGATACTGGAGTTTTCATTCTGAATACTTTGAGAGCTTATTTTTCTAGTTTTAATTAATTGTTAAACTACTTAATATATTCAGAGTTCATTTTTGTATATTTAAACTGCAAAGATACTTACATGCTTTTTTAACTTTTAAAACCAACTGGTCATTCCTACAGATTTCAGGGAATCATTTTATGTTTCTTTCTAGTGAAAATATTCTTATGCGGTCTCTGAGATTTGCCTTAAGGAAGTTTGGTATCCACCGCATGTAATTAGACAGGTTTAGCCTTGGAAGTTTTAATGGTGACTGTATTTTTTTTGTGGATCTGTAGTGTCACATCCTGAATTTGAGGAATGTTCAAATTTGGTGTTCATTCAAAATGAGAAAATTAGAGTAAGACAACAGCTGATGGTCACTTTGAAACCTTTGATTTCTTGGGTAGCAAAGAAGGGAATTCTTGCGGGACTTTGCATTTCTGAAAGAACATTCTTTCTCTTAGGGTACCACTGGGGTGTGGGGGGAGAAGCCTCACAGACAGACCATAGCCAGCTCAGGCCGATTACAGTTCCTGGGAAGTGAGGAAGCACCTATCAGGTGCATTCAACAAGGCGGCTGGTCCTAAAGGGCTGGAGAATAAATCGTCACTTCTTATATCATGGGAAAGTGTCCTTATCTTTTTGGAACCCCTCTAAACAAATACTGGGAGAAAAAAAATAAAACAAAAACAAAAAAATCACATTCAAGTCTGGGATGCATATTGATGTGGAAATCTGAAAAAAAAAAAAAATAGGCAAAAAATTCCCAAAACAAAACAAGAGCACATTCACTGAAAATAAAATAAAAGGAAACTGAAGGTTTTCTTCCTCTCTCTTTTTCCCTCCTAGGTGAATTTTGTGGCATGCCAGCTCTTTGCTTTGCTGGCTGCCTTCTGGTTCCGCATCTACTTAAGTCCCAGTAAAACTAGTTCCGTTGTCCGGCATGCATTTGCCACTATTTTTGGCATCTACTTTGTCATCTTTTGTTTCGGCTGGTAAGTACGTGCCTTGTAGATTCTAGTATCGCTTAGATATCTTGTGGCAGTGTTCTTGGTATTGCACAAAAATAAGAAATATATGGTATTGTAAAATACCATACAACTTTATAATATTGTAGAAGTCTTTTATGAATAATGGGATGTTGTAGGAATCTCTATTTATTTGAAGAACCTGGGACCTATGAACGAACTACCCATTGGAAGGCCATGTGGTGAGTTTGCTCTATCACTTGTGGATGATCGTAACTTTATGACTTCCCAGTTGCTGCTGCTTTCACATTTAGAACTTGCCAAGGTGATTGTTTTTCTTTGTATATGCTCATTTTCGTGTATGTGACTGTCAGTTGTTCATTTAGCCTAGATAAAAACGTATTGGCCAAATCACGCAGGATGGGCTCACAAGACATTTCCCGTCTTGCAAGATAGAAAGTCGAGGTGGGCAGTAATGGGAACAGGTTTTGGGTGCATTTCTTCTTTTTTTTTAATTATTATTTAATTAAAAAGATTTATTTTATTTGCTATAGGGCATGTATGCTCACCAGAGCAAGTGAGTAAGAGAGAGGGGAAGTGAGACAGAAAGTGAGAAAGCAAGCCCCCAGGTCTGTGACTTGACTGGCAGTCAGCTATGGGAGAGTCCAGCACCTTAACACCCTGCCACCTGTTGGCCCCCTTCTTTTTCTTTTTTGTAAAAGTTAATTCATTCAATTATTGAGAGAGAGAGGGACAGAAAGACAGGCACTCCCAATAGGGTCCCCACACCACACTCTACCTCCAGCCTCAGCCAACCCAGATCATAGACACACACACACACACACACACACACACACACACACACAGATTCTCTAACCCAGAATCTACTCATGTGGGTCCAGTTGTGTACCGCTGTGCAACTTCTGCCTCCACTGGTGTAATTCTTGCATTAAGTACTAGAGACATTGCTGTTAGTCCTTCAGTTACATAAAGCAGTCACTTTATGTAGGCGTTAGAGAACGTGAGTCATTTTCCACCATGAAAAGCCCATAGATGGGACTTCGCTCTATAGGTCAGCTGGGCAAATGCCCTGGCAGTGGCATTTCTTAGGGACCGACATTTCTAGAAATACAGCCTAAGGAGATTTGTAAATTTGTTCAGGGTTCTGTACTAGCATACTGTTCTTCCTCCTTCAACAGCAACTTGAGAACCAATGAGTATTGGATCAGTCCCCAGGTAAAAGTCTTAGTATCTCAGGAAGCTTGCTTTTAGTCCTTGTATTTTAAAACTTAAAAAAAAAAAAAGTCCTGAAGAACAATCTCCTCTCTTCTGGACTTCCAATTTGTATGTATGGAAAAAGTATACCCGACGTTACTAGTGTTGTAGTTGGCAAACTAGGTGGTGACTTCGGTGTGATTTAAACAAGTAGTGTCTTAAGTACACAGAACAAAAATAGTTTGTTTTCATGTATGTAAAATGAGCTAACTGATGCTGCCATTTTGGTGGGAGTGGTGGGAATAGCTGTCTGGGTGGCCAGTGGATTCGCTCATATGAAATACCCTCGTTATGTCTTAAAGGTACTCCATCCATCTTTTCGTGCTGGTGTTAATGTGCTATGGAATCATGGTCACTGCGAGTGTATCCAACGTGCACAGGTAGGACCCTGGGAATGACAACATACGATAAAGCTTTTTGAGATCTTTGAAATGTATTTACAAGGTAAAGGTGGACCTTCCCCATTTTTTGTGGTCACGTAGTGACCTACATTCTCTAGGGCCTCATAGGGAGGATGGGGGACCCTAAAGGCTGAAAGACTTATTGAAAAGGTGGCTTGCCAATTGAGTCTTAGGTGAGAGAGACTCTATCAAGATTAGGCAGCTTTATTTGTGACAGCCCCAGCCTGGAATCAACCCAAATGCTCACCACAGTGCAACAGTACTCGGCAGGAAGAAGGAATGGATGATTGATACACACAAAAAGATGGACGAGGCTAAAGTAAACATGCAGAGTGAAAGAAGTACACACGTTCTGTTCTAGAAAATACAAGTTGATCTGCAGTGGTAGTCTTAGAGCCTACTCAGTGAGAAATAAGGGGCCATCCAGACACAGCTGTATTTATTGAGTCTATTGATTAAGCTGGTGGCATATTGGGGGACTCATGTCTCTGAAAACCCTGCAGCCCCAAGTGTAGGGAGAAGGGTGCTGATAAAGACAAAACTCATGTTCTTTTCTGGTTGACATGGCGATCACAAGAACCAAGAGTGGTGGGCTTGAAAGGGTAGGGGGTAGGGGCTTACAATGTAAAAGCAGAAGCAAATCACCGGAGCAAAACAAGCAGGTTGATCATTCCTAAAGGTACGCTCCACCCTACCTAAACACAATGGAATCTTAATGGTCTTCCTGGCTCAGGGCAAGGGGTCTGGCAACTGATGATGGCATCACTAAGGAACATCTTAGGGTAGGGGGTTTTGGGTTATTTAGCAAAGACAGTAGGAGTGTTAATCACTCTGTTTACTCTAGACCAAAGGAGAAAGCAAGTTTCCAATATACAGGGGAGTTGAAAATGGAGGTTTACCTCAGGAGACAATCAGAGGTTCTTTGGTTCTACCAGGGGATATGGAAGAGGTCAGCAAGATGCATAAGGTCACCTTTGGGGGACCAATGGCTTTGTCACTCTCTCAAATTTGGTGATGATTTTTCTGGGTGTATACATGTTAAAACTTATTACATTGCATACTTTAAAGAGTTTTAATAAAATTAGTTTTAAAATAATGTAGTATTTTTACTGTGATGTTTTGATTTCAAAGTATGGAAATATTTAAATTTTCCTTCAAAGACTACGTGCTTGCAGAATCAGTTGAGATTCTTGGGCTGTTTGGTGTTGTCTCTGTTTTCCATGGTCTTTCTGCAAATGCAGCGTCAACTCCACTCTTTGGTAACACTGGAATGTAAGTTCTTTGGAAACAAAGACTTTTCTTTCTTGTTCTTTGTTGTATCCTTAAAACCTAGAACAATACCTGGCACGAGTAGGAGGTCAATAAATATTTATGGGATGAAAACTGAGTTACTTTTTAAAAAAATATTTACCATTTTTGGCCTCATCTGACAGTCAGATACTTAATTCTGGCTTCAGAAAGCTCTTTGATAAGACTGTTTGCACAATAATTTTTCTAATTAAAAGCACTGAAATTTAATTTCTCAGTGTTTGATCTTGTAGTACCTTATAATCAATTTCTGGTTTTCAAGGGAAAATATTTTTCCATGCCTTCAAATTTTATAGCCATGCAACTTGGTATCCAACTGAGCTCTGAAAACTGGAGCCATCGCTGGTCTCAGCCTCTCCCGTGAAGGGAA